CAACAAAAAAATGTTTAGCCGGGAGCAGTTTGACCGTCAGATTCCCCTCTGCAGTCGCATTGTGCCCAGGCCTTCTGGAGTGCACGATGCCTCCGGCAGTGCAGCCGAATGCGTGCTTCAAAGAAGGCCTCAGGCTCGACAGCGCTGCACACTCGCTTGTGGGAGCGAATGTGCAAGAAGGCCTCGCACTCAGAAGAGTAGCACAGCACAGCCTGAGGAAACTGCGCGGGGGCGAGGAGAGCGAGCGAGGGAATAGCGTCGGCGCACTCCACAACCTGTCCCAACCACCGCATGAGGATTGCTTTCCACCGAGGGCATACACTGCAACGCAACGCGTCATCTAGGTCCATTCTCTCGTCGTCAGGGTTGGGGCATCCAAAGACACAGCCTCTCCGAGCACTATGGAAACGTGATGTCGCGCATATCCCATGACAGGCGATCCGACGAGGGGCGAGACCGATGCACATCTTCGCGCGTTTCACGTCGCACCGAATCTCGCCGATCACCTGGGCGACGGCGGCGGGACGGGGCGGCGGCAGCCACGAGGATATTCTCTGCAACGGACCAGACTCGGGGCACCGATCCATGTCCATAGGGCCCCGCGAGCAGAGCGCTACAGGAGGAAGAGAAGAAGAAAAAAAAACTGGCGATTGACCCAACCATATGCAGTTACGAGTACCGCAAAGCAGGTTGAGCGAATGAGAAGGAACTCCCTAAGGGGCCACGAAACGTGTGAGAGGTGTGCCGAAATGGGTGCGGTGCCGCCATGCGAAAGCAGCCACTGGGGCCCTCGGTGGAGCTCCCTATGGGGCCACGAAACGTGCGAGGGGTGTGCCGAAATTGGTGCGGTGCCGCCATGCGAACGCAGCCATTGGGGCCTTCGGTGGAGCTCCCTCTGGGGCCACGAAACGTGTGAGGGGTGTGCCGAAATGGGCGCGGTGCCGCCATGCGGACGCAGACACTGGGGCCCCCGGTGGAATTCCCGATGGGGCCACGAAACGTGTGAGGGGTGTGCCGAAATGGGCCAGTGCCGCCATGCGAACGCAGCCACTGGAGCCCTCGGTGGAGCTCCCTATGGGGCCACAAAACATGTCAGGGGTGTGCCGAAATGGGCGCGGTGCCGCCATGCAAACGCAGCCATTGGAGCCCTCGGTGGAGCTCCCTATGGGGCCACGAAACGTGCGAGGGGTGTGCCGAAATGGGCGCGGTGCCGCCATGCGGACGCAGCCACTGGGGCCCTCGGTGGAGCTCCCTATGGGGCCACGAACCGGGTGAGGGGTGTGCCGAAATGCGCGCGGTGCCGCCATGCGAACGCAGCCATTGGGGCCCTCGGTGGGGCTCCCTATGGGGCCACGAAACGTGTGAGGGGTGTGTCGAAATGGGTGCGGCGCCGCCATGCGAACGCAGCCACGGGGGCCCTCGGTGGAGCACCCTCAGGGAACACCAAACGTGTGAGGGGTGTGCCGACATGGGTGCGGTGCCGCCATGCGAACGCAGCCAGCGGGGCCTTCGGTAGAGCTCCTTATGGGGCACGAAACGTGTGAGGGGTGTGCCGAAATGGGTGCGGTGCCGCCATGCGAACGCAGCCACGGGTGCCCTCGGTGGAGCTCCCTATGGGGCCACGAAACGTGTGAGGGGTGTGCCGACATGGGTGCGGTGCCGCCATGCGAACGCAGACACTGGGGCCCTCGGTGGAGCTCCCTATGGGGCCACGAAACGTGCGAGGGGTGTGCCGAAATGGGCGCGGTGCCGCCATGCGGACGCAGCCACTCGGGCC